ACGGTCTTGAACGATGAATTGAAAATTTAAATATCAAATTATGTCAACTTGACGATATTTCTGCTTCGTCAGGAAATTGCTCATTAATGATTCTTGGTTTTCACTTTCATCCGTATCAGGCTTCAAATTAGTCAGAGGTATATACTCCAGAATCTGAGAACACAATATGAAACAGAGTTTCCAAAGAAAAAACAACTTTCTTGACATCCGGTTCGAAACCCATGTCAAGCATACGATCAGCTTCGTCAAGAATGACATAGGTGCATTGCTCAAGAAGTAAATATCTATTCTCCAGCACATCGAGGAGACGACCAGGTGTTGCAATAACCACCTGAAAAATGAAAATGACGTTTTGGCGTGATTAAATGGAAATTAGCATAAGCACTAGCGTTATGCTAATCAGGAAATCGATAACGCGCATGCCACGGCAGAAGGAGTGAACAAGACGTAACAGCTTCGTATAGATTTTTTTTTCAAATCACAAAAACGATAACAGTTGAAAGAAGTTACCTCGACTCCAAGACGAAGTTTCATTCCTTGCTCTTCGCGTGAAGCTCCTCCAATGACAGAAACTGTTTTGACCCCTAAGATAGAACCAAACTTGTTCGTCTCCTCTTCAATCTGAATCATACAGTGTTTTGAACAAAATGAGCAGTGTGTACAAACCTGCTGAGCCAATTCACGAGTGGGCGCTAGAATGATAGCATACGGTCCTCGCTCGAAATGCTCTCGTCTTTCCATCTTTGGTAAACTTGTGATCCACACCTAGGAAAACAGCTTTCTGAATGTCCAACACACAGAAGAACTCACCAGTAGAGGAATAAGAAAAGCTGCTGTCTTACCGGAACCAGTTTCGGCAACTCCGATGATGTCTCTGTTTTGTAGACCAATGGGGATTGCTTGACGTTGAATGGGAGTAGGTTCTTTATATCCTACCTGCACAAGCCATATATAATAGAACATCAACAGCATGAAAGCAAACCTTCAAGATAGCTTGATAAACAGCATCCGGCAATACTATTTCCGTCCAAGATCTCATAGGCTTAGGAACTTTACCTCCCTACGATTAGAAGAACTATGTGTCAAACTGGAATACAACGTTACCTTGACTGTAATATTGAAATCTTCTCGGAAAATACGCCAATCTCGTTCGGACATTTCAGACAACTCTTTTTTTTTCCAATGACGATCATCATGAGCACGAGCACTATCTTTCACTCCCTCTTTTGTCAATCTTCAACGACAACAACAGTTACAAAAAGAATTAGAAAGCCTACCTGACGCTTTCAACAGCCTTCTCCTCGTCTGTTCGTCTCCTCTCCATGAGGGAGTGATAGAATTCGCTCTTTTCTTTCTTCTGAGCATTAACATCCATGCCAGCTATTGAACCACGTCCATAAAATTGGATCTGAAGAAGACTTTCAATGAAATCAGTGGAAAGAAAATCACCTCGTGTCGCTGAGTGTATAATCTGTTGTAATCTTGTGATGTCGTGTCCTCTCCAGCATCCCAATCAAATACAAACTTCCTTTCATGTAGTCTCCTGCCACGCTTCTTCTTCTCCTTTTGAATTCCAAGATATCGAGCTCCAACAGCACTCTTCAACTTATCGGGATCGAACACTTCATCATCTTGTGCCTTAAACATCCCCTGTTATATTACTCAAGTATCATGACCAAGCATACTTTATCTTTGTCTCCATTCCGTCTGTCTTCCCTTCGGTCTTTACTCCGACTACGATCTCGACGGTCTCTATCCCGATCTCTAGATCGACTTCGTTCACGTCTATCACGGTCTCGATGTCCGTCTCTGTCCCGTCCCCGATCTCTGTCTCGGTATCTATCACGGTCTCCTCGATCCCTATCACGATCTCGATCCCTGTCTCCTCTTTCTCGTCCACCACCGCGTTCTGGTCGTTCAGGACGCTCTGAACAGTTATTTTTTACAAGTTATAATTAACCACCAACCAACCTTGTGCTTTCTTGGCTTCTTGCATAAACTGTTTTCTCGCATCATCTAATCGCTTCTGTTCATTTTTTAGTTTGTCAACTTGTTCTTGACGTCTTTGCAGAGCCAGAGCAGCTCGCTCTTCTTTGGTTAAAAATTTGGGCTGAGAACTAACGATGTCTGACAAGATGCGAATTGTGTGCCTACCTTTGCATTCTCTTCTTCTTCCTGTTTCTTCCTAGCCAATATTTCCTCTAATGAAGGTGGTTCAGCCATTGTTGGAACCTATTCGAATAGTTAATATCTTTCTCTTATCAGTATATTCACCATTTC